AGATCTTTTCTGACACATCAGACACTAAACGTCAAAATATGGCATTCTTGCCCATAAGTATATCCTAATTATGATTTATGTCTCATGGGACAAATGTGAAAAATTTCTCCTCAGTCACCAAACTTATGCAGTCTCCTATGAAATGAGAACTTGCTACTCTCTAAATCACGGTCTTAATTGCTTACTATGCATTTGAAAGCTGTATAATGAATAAGGATAACAGAAGAATCGATGCTTTTGAGTTGTGGTGCTGGAGAAGAGCATTGAACATACCATGGACTGCCAAGGGGGCAAACAGGTCTGTCCTAGAGAAGGTGAAAGCAAGTTGCTCCTTGGAGGCAAGAATTTGGAAGCTCATACATCCTTTGGTCATGTTGCCAGGAAGGATCAGACCCTGGAGAAGGACATAATCCTTGGAAGGGTAGTGCGGGAGAGGAAGACTCTGGATGAGATGGATTGACACAGTGACTGTGACAATGGGGTCAAGTGTGTCAGAGACGGTGAGGTTGGCTCAGGATAGGGCAGGCTCAGAGCTGTTATTCATAGGGTTGCTGAGTTGTAGTTGACTCAGTGTCATATAACAGCAACAACCCTATAAATTTTATTTAGCAATTGGGAATTTCTTCCTATGCAAGTTGTTTCTCTTCATCAAGCCTCTGTATAGCACATATAAACTAGACAGGAAACTCAGAACACCAAGCAGTCAGCAGAACAGACTTCTAAATGGGAAAAAAGTGTGCTGTCCAGACCTAGAGACCCCTGTGGTACTGTGGTTTGCATGCATACTTATGACACATGGTGAACTCGTAGCTACCCTCTAGGAGCTTCACATGTTGGCTAAAATGCTTAGCCCGACTTCCAAATTACACATTAAACTATAATGTCATCTGTAAGGTGAGTCAGGAAGTCACCTAAGTTATGTGAATGTATTTCTTTTATGTACATCATTGTTATAGAAACAAAACTGGAGAAAGGCAGTATCTTCCCCTAGCAGTTAATGACAAAACCAATCCCAGAGGCGCACGGTTCGAATCCACCAGATGCTCTGCCGGGGAAAGGAGGAACAATCTCCTCCTGTACCAGTCAGATCTGATTTGACGGTACACTCACACAAAAATAGTAAAATTTTTAAAAAAATGACAAAACCAGTTCTGGAATCCAAACGCCTGACCCCCAGAATCAGTGCTCTTCCTGCTAAAGTGCACAGGGCCAAGGGCAGAGCTTTTGTTATCTAATGGTGCCCGGCAGAGACCCACAAGTGGATGACTTTCACAATCAGAAGTTTGTTCTCTTAGACTTTAGGAGGCTAGAAGTCCAGATTCTGGGCTCTAGCGCTTAGGTGGCCTTCTCAGTTGTGGAGAGGTCTTGTTCAGCGTTTGTAGGCCTCTTGTTGCCTGCAGGCCTCCATGTATTCTGACCTTCTTCAAGCAAAGGAGGCTCCTCAGTACCAGAACTTCATCATCCAGGGACCTGGGTCCACAAAGATCAACGTCATTCCTGACAATTATTTCTTGGTGGTACAAAGGCTTTCTCCATCTTGGCTGTTTCCTCCATTTTTCTCTCTGGTGAGGTAAAAGATAACACTGGCCATCCTGGGGGAACTCTCCTTACATCCAAATAGAACTATGATGGAGCTAGGGAGAATTGCATTTTGCCTTCAATCCTCCTACAACTATTGCTTTATCAGATCATGGGGATACAGAGTTCCTACATTATACACATATAGTCCTGGGGAACATAATTCAATCCACAACAGGCATCAATGCAAAATACCACAACTGGTCTTAGGGACACATCGTTAAAATGGGAATAAGAAGGTTCAGATGCTCTTCTCCTCATATGCTGTGATAAGTAGGTGCTTCTTGGAAAGGTGACTTAGAGTGGGACCTGTGTAGAACGGAAAACATCAAAAATCCCTGTCAACTAAATACTATGCAGCATGCAGGTGTGATGATTTTGAAAATCACTATGTAACTTGGGAGGGACTGAAGAGCATTATACTAAGTGAACTAACTCTGTCTCATAAGGACAAATACTGTGTAAGATCTTTATTGTAGAAAACTAGTAAAATGTGTATGATGATCCAATGAGAGGGGAGTAGGAACAGAGGGGTGAGGATGGGCAGGGGATTAAGCATAGGGTCACACAATTTGAAGGGTGGAGGGTGGGATGGGTAAAGGAAATGGGGAAGATCTGGTGTGAAAAGCAATGTATACAAACTTTGTAAGCAAACCAGTATAAAATTTTTATTTAAAAAAAAAAAAATCCACTCTTTCCACTTTAGTGCCATCTTGTTCAAGACCTCCGAACCATGAGGGCCACGTGGAGGAAAAAGCGAATGCACAGGATGAAGTGTAAAAGAAGATGAGGCCGAGGTCCACGTAAACGTGAGTGTGTGCACCCGCAGACGCCCCCGCGGCAGGAGTAGGGAATGCCACAGGCTGGGCACGCTGATATGAATTGAACTGCATGCTCCTGTCTAGAACTTCTGACTCTAGAATGTCCATCACTATTTGATCGCCATGAACGCCGCTGAGGTCCATCTTCCTCCTTGGAAACCAGGCCCTTTTGATCTGTTGCCCATGACCTCTGATATTCTGGACCAACTCTGCTTAGTTGTGGTTGGATGTCACAGGCACAATAAATCATCTTCTGCTGTCTTAGCCAAAGAATTAAAAAAAAAAAATCCCTGTGTGTGAACAATACATGCATCTTGACACACTTGTTCCATGAGGCCCGAAGGATATCTCTACATCAGCAAAATGCAAATAGCATCAAATACAACACATTTTTACAAATTTGACTTGAATAAACAAAGTAAGTGAATGAAGTTAGGAGTCAAGAATAAATAATAAATGACATTGAGTCAGTTGGGTGATTATTTGGGAGAGCTGGAAGTTTGAAAGAAGACAAAGGTTAGAGGTAGCTACATAATCAAATCTCTTCTGTAAAGGCCACTCAAAAAATACAATAAGAGGGCCACTCCTCAAAGACAAATGAGGAAGCTACTGAGAGGTCACTTTCCAGGGCTTACACCTCAAGATGCCCCTGCACTATGAACTGCGCATTATTCGGAAGAATCTTCCCAGCCACTCAGCCACTGTTCTGTTTTACAGATGAGAATCTGAATCTTTAATAGGTCGACCTATCTTGTTTGAGGTCTCTTATCTAGGGCCTGAGCTTTGATAATAATCACTATTTTAAATGTCTTGAAACTTTCAAAATCTGCTACCAATTTCAAGTCCTCTTCAACTTAACATGTGCCCATGATTATGTTGTTTTTGTTCTTTGGGTGGGATCTTTTGATTGGTTGGTTGGTTTTTTTGGGGGGGTGGGGAACCACTGTAAAATGCTCCAGGCTCACCTTGCATTTTTCTAGCTCCAGTCTTTTACATGGGTGGAGAATTCCCATCCTTCTCCCTTGGAGCCTCTGCTGGATTTGAACTATCAGAGAGGTATGGTTGTTGGGTCAGCAACACAACTTTCTATGAACTATGCCACCAGAGCTACCCTCATTCCCTCTTATTAAGTTCCATCAAGTCAACTATAACTCCAAGTCACCCTCGGAAAAATGGATCAAAGTTTTGCTCTAGCTATGCCAACCTCATCGTCTCTGATATACCTAACCCCACTGTTATAGTAACGGTGTTCTTGAGTCTTCCTCTCTTTGGCCGACCCTCCCACCTTTCTAAGAATGATGTCATTTTCCAAGTACTGGTCCCTCCCAACAACATGCCCAAAGTAGTTTTACCATCCTGCCTTTAAGAAGCCCCCCGATTGCACTTTCTCCAAGACATGTTTGTTTTTCTGACAGTCCATGAGCTAGTCCATACTCTTCTCCAACACCATAACTCTAACACGTCGATTCTTTTTCCGACATTCTTATTCACTTTCCAACTTTCAAATGCATAGTAAGTAAGGCCATCTAAGTCTTTAAACTGACATTGTTGCTCCTTTGCACCTTGGAGGTCCTTGACAGTAGATTTTCCCAACACAATGTCTTTTGATTCCTTGACGCTGGTACCAAGAGTGTCCATTCCCTCAGAGCTTTCCAAATTCTGCTTCTGCTAACACTTTGAATTCCATGGGTTTATTAGATAACCTCTTCAATTCCAGGACCTAATGCCTGTAAGCACTTAGTAAACGTTTACTGAATAAATGAATGACAAAATGCTCCTTCACTGCTTACTAGAATAGTGCTATTTTTTCCTTCCAACTAGTTTAATTGGTAAAATCTATACAAATGTAACTTGAGTTCAGGCCTTTAGAGACTAATAAAATGAAATAAAAGTACAAATTTGAAGTCAGTATTGAGACTTAGGGAAAATTACCATAAAGTAACATTTCATGGGGTTCATAGTTCGGATACTTATCATTGTTGAACGAACACACTTACTGAAGTCAATACTCTTTTATTCAACATATTAAGTGTGTTGTTTAACTCTGGTAACCACAGCTGTGACTTAGTTAACGATCTCAATAAATCCTACTTAAATCAGAGACAGGAAAAAATTATGCAAATGAATTCTTATCTGTTTTTCTGCCCAAGGCATATTTGATAACAGATAAAACATACTTCAAATAGTCTCCACTTAATAGTCAGGAAGTCATTGAGATTTTATTTGGATCACAATAAATAAAAAGAGAGAAGCCGCAATTTTCACAAATGGCTTTATTTCAGAAAGAAATTACAGATTAAAAGACGACAGTTAAAAGCTTACTTCTCATATGGAGTGAATCTAGGAAAGTCAACACTTATTAACATACAAAGCCACATGATTTTAAAAGACAAAGAGAAAAAAAAAAGACAAAGAGATAATAACAGATAGGTTTGCCTTAGATTCAACTACAAAATAATACGCTTTAAAATAAAAATATAGTGGTCTTTAAGATAGCTCTTTGGAAATGAGTTTATAGTTCCAACAGACTTGAAAAAGAGACCAACCACACCACTCTCCAAGTAGGCTGTATCATATACACAGGATGGACAGCATCATCAATTACACCTTGCAGCTAGATAGGATGTCTTCCACTAATCTCTTGTAAACCCAGGCATCGCCCTTAAGCCGCTGCCTCCTGATACCCACAACATCGGATTTTTGGAGTTGGCACACTTCTAGTTCAAACTGCATTGTCACTTTGCCAAAATCTGACTGTGTTTGACACTTCAGTGTATATCTGTGAAAAATAAGATAAGAAGCCAGTTAGTGGAAGAACCATGAATATTCTATGCAGTACAAGAGGTTTCTAAGCCTCTAGGAGGCTAGTGGAGAAAATGAACCATTATTTCATATTAAGGAATGTATAACTGCTTACAGTTTCCAAATGACCTAGCTATGCTTTAGTGATAGAGGATGACTGGTATTTTCCCAGAAGCTGAACTAGGATCCTTTGAAAGAATAAAGTTGAAAAGGGTTTACCAGAATTCTCCCATGCTCCAAAGAAAAGCCTTTCTTTCACAGCTACACATGCTTTTCACGCTCAAAATATCTTCTGGCATCCTTTATGCAACTCTTTCAGCAGTTTAATCCGTGAACATTAAGCCATCTCCACAATGTTCACAACAAAGGAAAGCGCAAGGAAGATTAAGAATATTTTTGTGTGTATGTAAAAGAATGTATTTTTGTGTGTATGTGAAAGAGAGACATTTCTCATCAGAAATGCCTCCCTTTCATACAAATTAAGCTGAAACCAGAGCCTGTCAGAAGGACATATGGTTTTTAAGTTTCTCTCCTAATAAAAAGAGGCTATGATCATTACAATATTTTATGGCAGGATTATAAGAGAATGCTCAAGGAAGTGGCATATTTCTTTGGTTGAAACAAATGGCATTTGTAATTAGAACAGTCATGCTACCCACTCTGACAATAGAAAGATTCGGTCTATGTAAAGTCTAAAATTCATTTTAATGAAAAGGTATGTTCCTAAATAATGTTAACAAAGTCATGCAAATTCGTTTTTAAGTTTGTTCACTTTAATTTTTAGGGTTTTATTTGTCTTGTTATTGATCTTTAAAAACAATGCTTAGGAGAGTTAGTGTGGAGAAATTATATTATATCTATTGTAAAATACTAAGAAGTTTCACAAAATACTGATACCTATTTCCTTACTTAGTTCTGTATTTCAGGTAAAGGAGTTTGATTATCTTAAAAAATAGATAGTATCAGACATGCCAAAAAGAGGCCCTTAGTAAAAAGATAAAGCACAGACTAACTCAGTCATATAGAAGACAGCAAAAAGTCTTCCTGTGTGAAAAAAGTTAACAATGGAATATAATCCAGTTTAAAGACATTTCATCACTAAAATACCTGTCCTTCTGCTTTGTCACAAAGAAGGTAAAACCAAGAAAATAAAAAGAAAGGGATCAATCAAGGCAGAAACTTGACTACCTAGAAATTTAGGACAAATACTGGTTGACAGACAGTGATTTCCTCTTAAAGCTTATGAACAAGGAAAGCCTTCTGATCTAGAAGTTCTAGATCACAATCAAGGACCAATATTAAGAGCAGTAGGTCAGAGTAAGTGAGAGACGTGTTCTAATGAAACGTAAAAAAGAAACTGCTAGGGAGCTCTAGTGGCCTAGTGACAAGAGGCTGCACTGCAATCCCAGAGGTATGCAGTTCTAAACCACCAGATGCTTTGCTGGAGAAGGAGGGGCAATCTCCTCCTGTACCAGTCAGATCTGATTTGACGGTATACATACACACAAATAATAAAATAAATTTAAAAAAAACAAAAAAAAAACCTGCTTCACATAATGAGAGTTTGCCAACACACTGACTGACGTAACCTAATGAAAAGTAAACCACTTTTGCAAAAGATTGCTTCTTATACTCTTACTCTATAGTGATCATTCTATTTAAATCTATGTTAATAAGAAATTTTAAGGAGACTTATTGAGTAACCAGAAGAGTTCTGGCTATTTAGTCCATGAGATTATAAACAACAACAACAGGAGAGAATTACGATAAAATAACTTTCTTAAGTACTAAAAAGCCAAACCTGTAAAACAGCAATTCAGTTTTTTAAAAAATGGAGTCCCTTATTTGTTTGAGCTATCTTGTAAATTTACATTACAACTTATGATAAAGTAAAAGCTTCTATTTTCCTGTTTTAAAGCGAATTCTTAAACTGGTGACTATACAAGTGTTCATAAGGAACATGTATTAAAACAAAAGAATACATTCTGAACAACCACACTATCAAAAAGGCTTTTCAGAATGAGGTGGGAGAAATCTATTTTAAAAAACAGCAAATGAACCATATGTTCCTTGTTTTGTTTTGTTTTTTTTAAATAAATAACTCAGTCCCACAAGGTTAAATATTATACAAAACCATTATTGTAGAAAGAGTATAAGGATCCAGGAGGGGTGGGAGAGGCTGGGAGCAGAGGGATGTGGATGTACAGGGGGAAGAGGGGATTACTCATTGGATTGTACAATTTGTTGTGTGGAAGGTTGAGGGAAACTGAAAGAATTTGTCTGAATTTTTATTAGAATTTTGTAAAGAAATGAGTAAAAACAAAAACAAAAACCATATGTTCTTAAAGCCCAGAAGACATCAAGTCATAAACCAACACCCTGTGAATGTGCATCTTACCCTTTCTGTACAAAGTCCACGTTCTTCTTTGGAAGAACAGACATTATTTCATTCAAGAGTTGATCTGGATTCACTAATCTGGTAGTAGTCACATTATAGTGAAGCTTTAAAAGGAAAAAAGATTAAAAAGGTGAGAGGAAATCCTTTACATTACCACAAAGATCATCATCCTGCCAGCCCAATAAAGAATTTAACCCCTTTCTTATACTGCTGCTATTAATATTTTTAAAAGACAATTTTTAAATTTTAATTGTGATTTAAATGAAATACTAAAGTGCATCCAACCCAAGCTTTGGTGTTTTCAACAGCTTTCAATGCATGTGAAAGTAGGACAACGAATAAGGAAGACCATTGATGCCTTTCAGTTATGCCGGCAGAATGTACTGAGTGTATTTTAGACCACCAAAAGAGTAAACAAATCTGTCTGAGAAGAAGAGCAGCCAGGGAGGTCCTTAGAGGCAAAGGTGGTAAGGCTTCATCTCATACTTTGGGCATGCTACACGTGAGGTCAGTTCTTTGGAAAGATATCATTCTTACAAACACAGTGGGACAATGAAAGAAAGAAAGATCCTCAAAGAGATGGATTGACACAGTGACTGTAACAATGAGTTTAAAAACAGCAGAGATTTTGAGTGGAACAGAATAGGCCAAAGCTTCAATCTGTAGTACAGAGTTGCTATGAGCTGAAACACCCACAACAACAAATGTAGGTTTCATCCTTGTTTTTTGGTGGGTGTGTACCACACAGTCGGAACCGACCCACAGCTGGCCCTCTGGCGGGTTTTCAGAGGCAGTTAATCACACAAGAGTAGATTGCCCATCTTTCTCCTGTGGAACAGCTGGAGGCCTCGAACCCCATGCCTTTGGGATTGCTGCACAGCTTCTTGCCACTAGGCCACCAGAGCTCAGCTTTGTATCCTTCGTTCCTGAAAAATAATCCTTGGAGTAATTGGGATATTTTCATCTGGGACATCAGGTCACACTTGAGGGTTTGTGCTGACAAGTGGAGGCTGGGCAAACCAGAAAGACTCACCAAGAAGCTGAACTAGCCTCAGGGGCCATGATTTAGTCTGTTAGTCTAGACTGGCCAATAAAAGTGGACCATGAAGGCTCAGCAAGCTTCCTAGTGGGCAAATAGAGGATGATATGAAAGCGCTTTACCCCCCAGACCTTGTCACTGCATGTCTTCCTTACAATGATGCTAATTTGTATCCTTTCACTGATACATCCATGACCCTCAGTCCTTTCCATGGGATCTGTACCTTATTCCAGTGAGTTATCAACCCCAAGGACGCAAAGGAGCAAGGGGATGAAAGTGGAAGTGTGACATGAATCTCCGATTTGTGGCTGCTGTCTGCTTACTTGGCAATTAGAGGGCGGGCTAGTTGTTTTATGTAAGATCTGCCCTAGTGGTGGACAGCCAGGATCAGTAAGAGAGATAATGCCATGCTGGCAGCTGGCATCAGAGAATGAGTGATTCCAAAGGCTGATTCTACAACTCTATGAAGCAATGAATAGAACTGCTGTTTCTTTTATAATAATGCCAAATTGTTTTTCTTACTGCCTAAGAACATAATTCTCAGAGATGTTAATTTTAACTCCTGATTGGTCTCATTCATTCATATAACTATTTACTGAATGTTTACTGTCAAGCATTCAAGAATGTTCTAGAAGATCCTGAAGAAACACTAATAAAGAGACAAAAATCCTTACTGTCCGAGGAGTATCTTCATTGTCAAACAAAACCTTAGTTTCTATGCTTTCCAATTTCAGAGGTTTTGTTTAATAAATAACAATGCTAAAATTGAAAAAGACTCAAGCATCTTACTTTTAAGATATAAACTTTGGGTGCCATATAATACTCATATACTTAAATGTATATTCTAACCTGAGGGAGTCCTGATGGCTCAATGATAAGGAGTCAACCCAAAGATATGCAGTTTGAATCTACTAGCTATTCCACAGTGAAAAAGATGGGCAATCTCTTCCCATGCGATCTCCAGCCTCGGAAAACCTGCTGGAGGGTCAGCTAGGAGTCAGTTCTGACTTGAAAGCACACAATAACAATGACATACTTTCTTTTTAATTACTTATGCTTAAAAAGTTAAGCACCTAAATTTTGATGATGGTTTCATGCATGTATGTGTGTGAATGCCTGAATATATGAAATTATACTTTTCTGATATATGTAGCTGATGGTATGCCAATTCTACCTCTATAGAGCTAATTTTTAATATGCCAAGGACTGACAGAAAAATAAACAAATCTTAGAAAGATTTAGACTTCCTAAATGTTAAACTGCTTGAATGCTTCTTAGACACGAGGATGAGAAGACCCTCGACAAGATGAAGTGGCTGTAATGAAGGGTGTAGTAACTGTTGTGAAGACACAAGACTAGGCAATGTCATTCGATTGAAAGGGGGTCACTATGGGACAGAACCAATACAATCACAACAAAGCTATTTTTAAAAAGTGAGTCAGCACACACAATGGAATTCTATGAAGCACTGAAAAATAATGGAATAGTGTAACATTAGGCAACAAGGAGTAGCCTTGGGGGCATTATGTGAGTGAAATATCTCAATTACAAAAGAACAAATACCACATAACATCTCTGTTATAAAATAGGACAGACATGGGAAAGTTGGGGAGGAAATGAGGAAAGAGCAGATAGATCATGAACACTGCATTAGAACAGATGAGGGGAAGAACTGTCCAAAAGGAATATATGGGTATGCATTATATGTATGAGAACAATCTGGAACAAGAGGATATGTTGCAGGGTAGGCTGGAGGAGGGAGAGGGAAAAAGGAGGTAGAAATGTGCAATAATGAATAAAAAAATAAAAAAATAACATTTTATATGATTTCTTTTGCAAAATAAAAATTAATCCTACTTTATGTTATTTAAATTTAATTGGTTTTTTGTGGGTTTTTTAAAAATTAATTTTAATGTAAGTACAGAGACTTAGCATTTCCAGTCATTCACGGTTGCACTTTTCTCCCTACCCACCCCTCCCCCCCATTCACTTTTCTCCAAGTAAAAGAAAAACTCTTTCATTGCTATGCAATCCCTCCCCACAAGTCCACTGCACTGTGCAGGCTTCATTCTGGACTCCTGTCATGACAATAATATCTAATCAGAGTCTTTAAAAACCAAGGTGTTCCATTTCTATGACTATAATCAATTTGGTATCAAATAGATACTTGCACACTAACATTCATTAGCATTATTCACAATAGTCAAAAGAAATAGTCCATGAAGAGATGAACAGGTAAAAAATGTGTTTCAATCCAATCAAATATTATTCAGCCATAGAAAAATTAAGTCCTGGCACATATTATAGCATGGATGAACCCTGAAAACATCTGAGTGAAGATATGAAAAAAGGAGAAATATTACATGATCTGGCTTGTAAGAAATGCCTAGACTCAAAAATCTACTACAGAGCGGTAGTAAACCAAAACAGCACAGTACTGGTACAATGACAGGCACATAGACCAGTGGTAAAGAATTGAGAACCTAGAAATAGACCCAACCATCTATGGTCAACTAATATTCATCAAGGAAATAAAACCTATCAAATGGGGGAAAATGGTGCTGACAAAACTGGGCCGCTACCTGCAGAAAGCTGAAACAGGATCTACATCTCACACCATACACAAAAATCACCTCTAAGTGCATCAGAGACTTGGGAGTAAAGCCCAAAACCATAAAGTTCATAAGAGACAAACTGGGATCAAGCTTCAAGGCCTAGTTTACAGTACAAAGAGACTACCAAATACAGTCAGAAATGTACAATCTGAAGAGGATGAATGGGACCTTCTAAAGATTAAATCCCTGGGAGCATCAAAAGCTTTTTCCAACAGGGTGAAAAGAAAACCTACCAACTGGGAACAAACTTTTGGCAGTACCATCTCAGACAAGAGTCTCATAACGCAAGTTTTTAGAATAATCCTGGGCCTCCACAAGAAAAAAATGATAACCGAATTACAAAATGGGCAAAAAACATGGAAAGAATTTTCACAGAGGAAGATATTCAAATGGCCAACAAACAAGACTCATGAAGAAATGCTCCAAATCCCTGGCAATAAGAGAGATGCAAATCAAAACCACAATGAGGTACCATCTCACTCCAGTAACAGTGGCAAAGTTTAACAGGACAGCAAGTAATAAATGTTGGCGAGAATGTGGTGAGATAGGAACTCTTATACATTTGGGATTGTAAAATGCTATAACGACTCTGGAAGGCAGTTTGGCGTTTCCTCATAAAGCTGAACATAGAAATTCCATATGACTCAGCTGTTTCATTGCTTGGAATATACCCCAAGAAAATGAGAACTGAGGCTCAAATGGAGACTTATACATTAGTGTTCATGGCAGCATTATTCACCATCACAAGGACATGGAAACAGCCTAGATGTCCAACCACAAACGAATGGACTTAGAAGTTGTGGTACATTCACACAATGGAATCCTATGCAGCAGTACACAGGAGCAATGAGTTTGTAAATTACCACCTAACTTGGGAAGGACTGGAGTGCATTATGCTGTGTGAACTAACTCAGTCCCACAAGGACAAATACTGTATAAAACCATTATTATAATAAAAAATAAAAAACAAAACCATTTTTGTAGAATGAGTATGAGGGTCCAAGAGGTGGGGAGGGCAGAATCAGAGGGGTGAAGATGGGCGGGGGGAGATGGGTGTTAATCATAGGGTTGCACAATTCGATGGGGGGTGGTGGTGAAAGAAATGGAAAAGATCTTTTGTGAAAAACAATGCATTCAAACTTTCAAAACAAATCAGTATAAAATAAAAAAGAAATGCCTAGAATGTAGACACAGAGTAGTCTATTAATAGTTACCAGAGTCTTTCAGAAATGGGTAATGGGAAGTTATGGCTTTCCCGTGTCTGTTGAGGGTTACAGAAATATTTGGAAATGAACAGTGGTGATGGCTGCACAAACTAGACAACATAACTAGTGTTACTTACTGGCTTATACACTTAAAGGAGTTAAATATATATGTATCACAAAAAAGTTTTTTTTTTAAAAAATCAAGGTATTCTTGGTTCTGTTCTTCCAACTATTTGGTGAATATGTAATCTTTTAATATAAGAAGTCGAGGGATCATTAAACATTGAACTCATTACCACAGAATAAATTCTAACTCACAGACATCCCATAGGATGTGTAAAATTGTCCCCTGGGGTTTCCTAAGCTGTAATGTGAATAAGCAGACTGTGGCCTCTTTCTACCAGGCTGGTGGCTTCAAGTCTCCAACATTTTAGTCAGTAGCTGAACACTTAAACAACAAGGCTCCTTCACTAGACAGTGGAATACACAATTACAGCCACTGTGAAATATAATCTCATCGCCATTAGAAGAACACGGATCAAAAAAGTGGAAAACAAGAGGGGTTAGACAGATGCTCTGCCGGGGAAGGAGGGTCAATCTCCTCCTGTACCAGTCAGATCTGATTTGATGGTACACTCACAGAAAAATAATAAAAAAATTAAAAAAAGAGGGGTTAGAAAGGATATATAGAAGCTGGAACTCTCATCCCCTGCTGGCAATAAGGCAAAACAGTACTGCTGGTATGGCAAAGCACTTGGCAGTTCCTCAAGAAGGTGAATAGGCAACAACCAGAGATTCAGAAATGTCAACCTAGATACTACCCAAAAGAAGTGAAGTTGGGAAACTTGTACAGCAATGTTCACTATAGTACTTTAGCAATAGCTAAAAAGTACAAATAATCTAAATATCTACCAAACAGATATATGAATCCACAAAATGTGGTATATACAGGTTCTGTTTGCTTGGCTCTACAATCAACACTCTTGACAGCAGCAACCAGGAAATCAAAAGATGAATTGCATTGGGAAAGTCTGCTGTCAGAAACCTCTCCAAAGTATTGAAGAACAATGATGTCAGTCTGGAGACCAAGATGCATCTGATACAGGCCATGGTATTTGCAATTAGAAGGCTGGACAATGACTAGGGATGAAAGAAGAATTGATGCCTTTGATCTGTGGTGTTGGAAAAGAGTATTGAATATACCATGGACTGCTAAGAGAACAAACAAGCTCATCCTGGAGAGGGTGAAGCGAAGCCGGGCTGTTCCTTGGAGGCAAGGATTCTGAAGCTTTGTCTGACCTACTTTGGACACATAAGTAAGGCAGGATCAGTCCTTGGAGAGGGACGTCATGCTTGGGAGGGTGGAGTTACAGTGCAAGAGAGGAAGACCCTCGATGAAATGGATGGATTCAGTTGTGGTAGGTGTGTCAGAGATAGTAAGATTGCCATTGGATAGAGCAGGGTTTAGGGCTGTTGTACATAGGGCCGCTATGAGTCGCAGGTGACTCAACAGCATATAACAACAGCAATAACAGTAGACAGCACAAAGATGGAGTTAGAACACAGATCTTCTCATCCTCAGTCTTACAGTTTGTCTCTAACATCCTGCCCTGGAGGACCACCTAGGAAGCCAACTACCTTCTGAGCAGTTCTAAAAAAAATAATGCAGTCAGGTTAATTCACCTGAGTATTTTTAAAACATTATCAATCAAGATTTCGTAACAGCTTAAAACAAAAACCAAGGCCACTGCTGTCAAGTCAGTTCAATCACTCGTGGCAGCCCTCCATTGGATTTCTTATGCTGTAAATCTTAATAGGATTTAATAGCTTAATAGCTGTCTCCCCTGGCACAGCTCATGGATTCAAACCATCAACCTTTCCATTAGCAGTCCAACACATTACTCACTACATCACCAAGGCTTCTTAGCTTCACAATAATGTATATACTTGGACAAGGTACTTTAATTTTTTAATATGTTTACATAGATGAGTTGTTTAGTGTTTTTCAATGAAATGGTACTATGGTTTTCAACATTAGAATTTAAAATACTTTTATGAATCCTGTAACAGGTGATCAGATTTGAGCTCAGACTAATGGTTTCTCAAAACTCAGGGAATCTGTACGGGTTCTCATTGGAGGATACAATGTTCTGTTGGGCTTTATAATGCAGTGTATGTGACAAAACTTTCTAGCGGTGCCCCACCCTCCTTGTTCCATGAGAATTCACAAAGGAGAACACTTGTTAAATGCCCTCATTGTCAGCAGTGTTTCAGGCAGTGTGCACATTTCATTGGGCTTCAGTAAAACTCAACACTTAGAGAAGTTCCAATAAGTGTGAGAAAAGCAAGCAAAGCTCTGGCTTTCTTATACAATGGAGAAACCCCTTTGTTGAAAAATTACATATTTGTCATGCGTGTGGCAGAAGTATCAGTTGGAGAGCCTACTTGCATTTGCATTTTAAAAAGATCATAAAGTAGTATGAAAAAGGAAGCTTCTGCCAGTGACCAGCTCTCATAGTATACCAGGGAACTCATCTAAGTGAAAATCTCTTTAAATGCCTTGAGCCTGGAAACAGTTTTACTAGAAATAGAAGCCCTTATCAGGCCCCAGAGAACATACTCCATAAAGAATTTTGCTCCAGTGAGAGAGCTAAATTGTGGGTGAAAATCTGTATATAAAGTACTTATGAGAATGGCTGTTCTCATAGTTATTTCACACATAGAAATGACTTTACATGGGATCAGTTGAAACAGGTCTTTAGATACCCAGGGCTTGTTCTGGAAGGAGCTAGAGTAGGTCTGATGGGTAAGTCAGGTAAAGATGCTTTTCTTGGATCTGAACCACTTAAAAGATTAATTCTTTTTCTTTTTTTTTTAATTCCAAAATACAATAAAGGCAAGGACTAAACATTAAAAAAAAAGAATTTAAAATATTTTATAACTATCCACAACTAGAGAAATTACAGAACAAAATGATAAGATATGCCCCCAAACATAGATAATCTAAAACGCCTAAGTACACTTTAAAAATTCAACAATACAACAACTACTAAGAGATCAGTTCTATTTTCTTCCTTTTTAAGGTACAACATAAATGAGATCTCAGAAAACGTTTCTTCTGAAGTACCTTACTATTTTCCTTCCTCTAACCTGATTTGTTCAGCATGAAAGCCTCTGTGAAAAAAGTAAACATGGTTCCAATACTCAGGCCACAGGATCACTGTGATCTTCTCTTGCGTCCTCTGGGCCCCATGTTTCTAAGAGCATGTCTTTATTACATTGAGGCCGTGGATCACAGTGGTATCCCCGCCTGTTTTACCTGCTAGTTTAGGAGTTCTTCAAGGAAATGCCCATCCCTCTCCCTCCTACAGCTCATACTTCCCCCAAACAAAAGTATTATTCATTAGATGTTTGAATGAATGCTCTGAGAAAAAACAAGAAAATAACGATTATTTTCTATCTACTAAGAATTTACGTCAGTTTGAAGAGTAAAGTACATCTGATTTAAGCCATCATCTTTTCAATTGCTTGTTTCATGTCTGAGAACTGGACAATGAAGAAGGATGACAGAAGAATCGATGCCTCTGAGTTGGAGTGTTGGAAAGAGTACTGAATATCCCGTGGACTGCCAAAAGAATGAACAGGTATGTCTTGGAGAACGTGCAGCCAGAGTATTCCTTATGGGCAAGGATGAAAAAGCTTTGTTTCACATACTTTGAGCATGTTAGTTGGAAAGGGAAATCATGCTTGGAAGGGTGGAGGGTCAGAGGAAGGACCTCAATGCTCAATGAGATGGAATAACACAGTGGCTGCAACAATAGGCTCAAGGAAGTCAGAGACGATGAGGATGGCACAGGATAGGACAGGTTCAGATTTCTTGTTTCATAAAGTCGCTATGAGTTGAACTCGACTCAATGACACACAACGACCAAAAAAAACCTTAATTTTTTTCTTTCCTTCCCCATCTAATATATTACTCTCAGCACTGACACTTGGCACATTTTAAAGCATAAAATTTTATCAAATAAGGCCTAACGCCTAGGCAGGCCCACGAGCCCCTTCAAATCTGCCGTCACTATTTCCGTCATACACGCTACACTCAAAGTTCAACTTAACACTCCAACTCAAATATTCCTTGAGAACTTCCCAAGATAGAGTACTCTCTAAGTGCCAGAATACAGCAACCGTTGTTCTTCATGTATGCCCGTTTTCCCATTTCCCTTAGTTCCACTCTGACTATTCTGTAGACTTGAACTTCAACACTGAATTAGTTATTTGCTACTTGAAGGAAGTAGCTGCGTTTTCAAAATCCATTGCATAACATCAAAAATTTTAGATGCTAAAAAAATAGGTAGTAACTAAGTAAACTTAAAAAATCTACCAACTCATAAGGAGAAACCAGTCCCTTGGAGAGGAATGTCATGCTTGGAAGGGTAGAGGGACAGCGCAAGACAGGAAGACCCTTGATGAAATGAATTGATTCAGTGACTGAGGTAATGGGGGAAGGTGTGTCAGAGATAATAAGGTTGGTACAAGATAGAGCAGGGTTTCGGGCTGTTGTACATAGGGTAGCTATGAATTCCAAGCAACTCGACAGCACATTAACAACAACGAACTCTTTCACTAAATGCTTCCCTTTAAACAAAGTAAACAAATGGTGCAGCTGGCAGTGAGCTTCTAAAGTCCCTGTCAAAGAATTCTAGCCCATCTACCTTTAATCTTCTTGGTCCATTCCTGGCAGAGCTCTTCTTCTTGCTCCTAGTAAGCACAGTGATGACTTTATCCAACCCCCTTTCAAGGCTTCCAAACACTTTGGTTCCTTTTCTTTTTGGAGTATCTTCTACATGGACTTGATCGAGATCCAATTCCACTGAGCGGCACCTTAAAAAAAAACACCAATCAAAAACAGAACAGAATCTTTATGAACAATGTCTTCTTTGCCATGAGACCTGGATAAATGGATGGTGCCCAGCTACAATTATTGAACATTTTGATCAAAAATTCTGTAAAAGAATTCTGTTCAAAAGGGCTAAATGCAGAACAGATTACAACTTTTCAGAGGCTGGTGACCACGAAGGGACAAAGGTTGTTCCTTGGAGGCAAGGATTTTGAAACTCCATCTCACATATTTTGGGTATGTTGCCAGGAGGGCCCAGTCCTTGGAGGACATCATGCTTGGAATCCGGGCGGAGGGAGACCCTGGATGAGCTGGACTGATACAGTGATTGGAGTAATGGGGACAGGGACATTGCAGACAGTGAAACTGGCTCAGGATAGAGCAGGAGTCAGAGCTACTGTTGAAAGGTCTGATGTGCCTGAGTCACAGATGACTCAACAGCACAAAACAACAACAATGATGGAAGTTGGATGAACCCCCAAAACTACTGCTTTTTTTTTAATTCCTAAAGTAGTTTTAAAACCAAACAAAAGTTTAGCCTAATAGAAAATGTCTGCCTTAAGTATTATGCTTCTTAAAAAACTATTTGTATGAGATCAAATTGACAACAGTATCTCAAAAAGGACTTATAAAAACCCTGAGTTTTTGTGAATGGAGAAGGAACAACTCATTAAAGAAGGATGAGAATGATAGCACAATTAAAGATCATTAATGTGCCTAAATTTCATCTGTACAAACTGTTGAACTGATATATGTTTTACGTATATATTCTCAACAACAATTTCATTTTTTAAAAAATCAAGAGCCTGTGCAGAGCTGGAGCTCCTGCCTTTGGGGCTGTCTCATTTGGGTGGCTCTCTCCAGGTTATCTTTCCCTCTCCTCAGAGCTAAAGCCATCTTCCCCAGGTTAGTCACTGTCTTTCCTTCCCCTTTAGCTAAATGCCATTTAGTAAAGCAAATTTCCCCCAAACTTTTTCTCTTAATAATTAAATAAACAGAAAAGTTCAAAGTACAATGAACATCAACATATCCCCTCAGACTCAATAATTGCTAATATTCTGGTACATTGGTATTTTCCATGTCTATAGAAAATAAATGCATTAAACATATGTATTTACTGAGCTACCTGAAATTAAGTTATCACATTTCACGCTGAAATACATCAGTATATATCTTCAATGAATAAGAACATTTTCCTGTATAACCCAATACTGAACTCTCATTCTAATTCTAATTGTCCCCCAAAATAAATTCTTTTTTTTTTAAAAAAAAAAAGCAAGAGACAACAGGTCATCTGTTCTGCTGAGTTTTTCATGCAAGAGGAGTGTGGGTTTTCTAAGGACACCATTTAGTATCCTTATTATTTTGGAAGACCCTCAAATGAAATGGATTGAAACAGTGACTACAACAAAGGGTATAAGTGCAGCAGTGACTGTGAGGCGGGTAGGGTTTCATTTGCTGCCCTCTGGGTTACTATGAGCCAGTCATCTTGATTAGCACCTGCCAACAACATCAACATTTAGATGTTTATAGTCTATAGACAGAAGAGTAGTGAAAGATGAGCCCAGAGAAGAAACTGCATGACTAGACTAGAGTCACTTTCCTCCCACCCAGTTATATTTTCTATTAAAGAGGCACTCCCACTGATGATCAGTTCACAAGTCTACCCCATGAGAAAGGCTTCAGCAAGGATCAGCGACCATTCTCCTACAGTCCTTCCAGAGTCACCAACAGAACTTGGGTTCTGGCTCACATAATCAGGCTTAGTGTATACGGATAAAAAGAAATCAGGTTACATGTACTAAAGCTCAAGAGTCCAAAATACTAACTACTTACCGCCTCTCAGGGCTAATAACTCCTGTCGTTAACTTGTTTGTTCCTGCTGAATTTACGGGTGTTTTAATTGGGGTCTCTTTCAGACTCTGATTGATATCTATTAGAAAAATAACAAACATAAACCATATGTGGCTGGCATACAATGCTGTGGACATTTCTATCAATAATACATAGATCATCTCATTCATTCATTTCAGGAATAATGTTCTCACTTAGAATGTCAGGTTAAAGTTACTCATTTTCAAAAGGGTTCCATATGATTTACAATAAAAGCAAAAATCATTTTGCTTTGAATACATGGCTTTTTCTTGTTCATAGCAAATCTGAGGTTATGCTTATGATTTTACTATATCATAGAATAAAATGGAATGATCACATAGATATAGATGTAATAATTATTTTCCTTTCTACAAGTAACTCAAATCTATACAAGGGCACAATTCACACCTTTACTTGACATAGTATTGGAAGGAGTTAGTTCAAGTCATTGCCCTATTCAATATCTGCTAGGTGAAAAGGGAGTTCTTATGAAGGCTTGAAAAAAATTACTTTAAAGGTACTGTGAGTTTTGGTTATTTATTATATTCCCTATTTCAGAATTCCATCTTTCATTTTAAGTAAGGTACCTCTATCCCAGAGAGTTTGTTTGTGATAAATTTACATAAATAAGTAAGATTATCACTGTTTAGTTAGCTCTTTAGTCATAATCTCTTAACTTTTATAGGCTTGACAGGGAATATTTGCTTTAAAAAAAAAGCGATATAACAAAGTTGTTGGGTTGTTTTTTTTCTTTAAATCTAAAACATATGAATCTATTCTATTCTTTTTTTTTAATCTATTCTATTCTAATCTAATCTATTTTAGGGACCTCTGAGTGATGTAGTACTTAGGAGTTTTATAGTCCATATTAATCCAAAGACAGTGCCTCTCTGGTGGTTCAAAATAGCAAGAAACTAATAAACATGGAAAATGATTATAGGGTTTTGGACCATAACACATAAGCTGTTTATTTAAGATAAATTTCAACTGATGCTACAATCTTATGAATTTATAACCTTAGAATGAGAACTAAAGGAAATGCTATATAATTTACTATTTTACTACAAAATACTAATTAAAATACAGTAGCAAGATTTGGCCTACATTTTTACAACTCACAGAAATGTTAATTTAAGGCAGTAACTTTTAAGAAAGAGAATATCCGCACAATGGAATACTATGCTGCATTAAAAAACAAGGAACTCATGCAATATTATTCAAAATGGTTGACTCTGGAGAACATTATGCTGAGTGAAATATTCCAGTCACAAAAGGACAAATATTACATGATGCCACTGTTGTAGAATGGGACTGTCCTTGGGGTTGGGGAGAGACTGAGTAAGATGGGTTCAATAATGTATACTGCACTGAAACAGAGGAGGGAGAAAACTGTTTAAAAGAGATATATAACTAGGTATTTCTGTTATCACAGGAGTCTAGAGCGAGGGCTACATGGTGGAGGGGACCTGGGGGAGGGTTTGTAAAACAATGAAAGAATCTTTTCTTTTACTTTTCCATAATTTTTGACTCATGTACTTATAACTTGTTAGTCAAATTTGTGTCTTCTAGGTTGCAACACCCCCATGATACATCTTCAAGGATATGAACATGTACGGCCAAGCACAATCAATAAGAGTGCATCTAAATTCCAAAATCAATCTCCATAATAGTCTATGTGTTTCCTACTGCCAAAGGGGCCCTTTAGAGTAGTGAGAGAAGATCTTCACCCTGAAACCCACAGCGTCCCTTTTCAGCAGGAAGTAGCTAAGAGAATACGCCATCCCCTTTTCCTTATGACTCAGGGTGAAGTCTCTCTCAGGGAGGAGTGATAGGGAATGGCAAAGGACACACTGACAAAGAAGATTAATCAGAACTGGCTTTGACAAGCACTGTGGCATTTGGACAAGAACAAACTGGGAGGAGGGTAGAGAGAATAGTGCAACAATGAATGAATGGAAACCCAAAATCTCTGTAAATGTTTATGAAAATTAACAAAATATAATTATAGAAAAAAAAACCTGTGCAACAATGAATAAATGAAAACTCTTAACTTTTCTGTGAACTTTGGTAAAGTCAAAGAAAATAAAAATTTTATTAAAAAAAAAACCAGCAAACCATAACAAAAAAAAAAGAGAAAGAGAATATCTTCCAAAATTCTTAAGCCATAGAAAGTCAAAAGCCAATGGAATTGTAAATAATCAAATCTATACTTTTCTCCAAGAACACAGAATATATTAATATTTAAGGTGCTATTTTAGAAGCAGTGGATACTCAGAAATAAAAACACTGTTAATAAAAATACTATTTCCAGCTCAATTAATAGTTGAATGAGTCAATACTATTATCTTAGCCAACAATATGGTAATTCCAAGTATGTCAGATATATAAAACTGATATAGAAAATATCTAAACACTTTTAATATAAGAACTGAAGTTTTTTTTCCATTTGTAAATTAATGGACTTGGAAGAAGGAGGAAGGACTAAGGTATATAAAGAAATCATAATATCCTAAAACTTATAATGACTGGGAATGAGGCCTAGTGGCAAGAAGCTGCACTGCAATCCCAGAGGTGCACAGTCGGAATCCACCAGATGTTCTGCTGGAGAAGGAGGAACAATTTCCTCCTGTACCAGTCAGATCTGAATTGATGGTATGCACACAAAAAATAATAAATTTTTTTAAAAAATGAAAAGAAAGAAATAATAGTATTCTAAAACTTATAATGAAAGCAATTACTAGTTATTAGTTTTAAAAACATGCTATGTTATGTAAACTTACATTTTAACTGATTGTTTACACATGCAATATTAATTAGATATATAACAACATACAACTACAATCATTTAAGAGAACACCAAAATGTAGAAAATCTTTACGATAAATAAAATTATTGCATTTAATGTCATTTTCTTTAACAAAACTCCAAATCATTAAATTCCATAATGTTGACTGAAATAAGACCATTTTAAGTTAGGAAAAAAATGTATGCAGACACTACTTTCTACCAACAAAAACAAGGAGGTTAAAGCCTTAAGTCTCTCTGCTTTAGATTAGGCAATCATAGTAATAAGAGTATTTAAATTTATCATCATACATACATTCTTTTCTTCTATGAAATTATTACACCCATTTATTTAGTTAGAAACACAAGCTACAAGAGGACTGGTATGTTCTCTTTATAATAATTTCTCTACAATCAATCAACTCTCTGATATTTGAAGCATGCTGAAGAAAACTATTCTCAGGTGATTATTTTCTCCCTTTCTTCTTCTTCTAAGTATCAACCACCCAGAGTTCAAGGTCCTTCGGGAGAATCTTACTGTCCTAAATGACCTGATGCATGCATTAAAATCAAGCACTGCATTTGTATTCTAAGAACACTCCTACAGTCACACAGATATCGTGTGGGTTGTGTAGTTCAGATTTCACCTGTGCACTATGACTTCTCAGGAGCAAACGGCACTTATTATTTCACACCTGTTGTGTTTTGGTCTTTCTTCATTAACCTCTGTGCTTCTCTTCTCATTTTCTTTCTTCTTATTCCGCTGCTCAAAACTTCTGCTTGCCAGGTTGCACAGCTGTCTGTTTCACTGGCATTTTCTTGACAAGTATTTAAGCCACTTGATTTAGTAGAGTGATGAATACAAGGTATACCTTGTGTAGCTGCTAATCTACTAGAGGAATCTGTGCTACTATAGGGGATGCCTCTTCCATTTTTCTTTTTTAATTATTTTCATTTATATTGGTTTGCACACAAAATTCTTTACTGTGTTTCGTTCATATATTTTGTGTTTCAGGTATTCCTCTATTCATACTGTGTTTCATAGTATCATTCCCATACATTATGTTTTATAAAACTAATCACCAATGATCCAAGCCCTGGTTCCCTCTTTTTAATAACAATTTACTGAGTTTTCCTTCTATTTGGCGTCATGCTCTTAAAACAGACAGAGTTCAACTGTTCCAAAGTTTTCTGTTGTATTGACACTTTCCCATTTCTACCTACAATCTTTACACTTATGCTTATCCCAAGAAATCCATTCTTCAACTTCCATCTGCTTAGAAACAAATGCATAATCAACTGTAGGTGGCAGTATTATTTGGTTAATATTTTATTTCCATTCTCTGCCAGATAAGCCTTTTAATCTCTTTAGGAATGAGAATACTACTGGTTTTTGTTGTTAGGTGTTATCATGTCAAGCACAACTCATTGTGGCCCTATGAACAACAAACCTGAATCCTGTGCTATCTTCTGCTATTTTCATCATCTCTGATATACTTAAACCCACTGCTGCAGTCACTGTGTCTATCCCCCGCATTGGAGACCTATCTCTCCTTTGCTGACTCTCAGTCTTTCCAAGCACAATATTCTCGATAGCCTGCTCCAAGGGATAACCTCTCCTAGCAACATGTTCAAAGTATGACAAAGTTTCACCACCCTTGACTCCAAGGAGCACTCTAGTTGCACCTTTTCCAAGGTGTATCTGTTTGTTCTTTTGGCAGTCCATTGGATATTCAAGACTCTTCTTCAACATCACTCAAAGGTGTCAATTCTTCTATATCATCCTAATTCAATGTCTAGCTATTAGATGCATAGCAAGTAATTGAAAAGACCATGGGCTGAATCAGTCATATCTTAGTCTTCAAACTGACATCACTGCTCTTCAGTATTTTGGAGCAGTCTCTGGCAACAGACTTGCTCAAAGTAATGCATCCTCTAATCTCCTGACTGCTGGTACCAAGAATGTGAATTATGGATCCAAGAAAAATGAAATCATTGGCAATTTCAATCCTTTCTCCATCTATCATGATGTTGCCTACTGGCCTAGTCTCAAGGACCTTTGTTTTCTGGATGTTGAGATGTAGCCCACATTGATAGATAGGTACAAACCTTAAATAAAAAGAACTGTGTGATTGTCATGCTGGGAATCAAAGTCCATTGCAAAGATGACAAAAACTGGAGTACTTGCAAGTTACACACTCCAATGGCATTCACACAGTAACAGGAGACTGTTCTAGTACTAGCAAGTAGGTGTCAAGGTCAATTAGGATTTTAATTTTAGAAAAATCCATCTTAAGAGGTGTGAGACCTATAAAGTGAAAGCACTAAAGACTTGCAAATTTTGGAAGGTGGGTCGGGGAATTTGGGATTGGGTTATTCAGGCCAGTACCCCACAGCCTTGCTTCCCCACACGAGTGGGGCTATACAGATGTTATGCACTTGTGAGTCATGGGAACCTCACCCCAAAGGTAACCTAGTATCAAGTTTTTGTAGAGAGAGGAGGGATTTTGATTTGTCTGTAAGTATTAAACACTATTCTAACCAATTCCACAAGAATATCTGTGAAAACTGTTTTTATCTGCGTATATTACCAGGGTCTGTTACTATATATAGCTGCCCTTCAACAAATTGTCACTGACTAAATTGTACAGGGTCTAGAAAAACAAAATTAATGCTTATGTCAGAAACAACTAACAACCAAATTAAAATGCAAAGTGCTAATGGAAGCCATCAAATGGGGATTCAGCCACTTGCTCCCTTATGTTAAAAAACAAAATAGCCAGTAATAACTTCTGATCAACACAATCTCTCACAGAGACAAGATATGTAAACTGATAACACTCTAAGATTATAAAATGCATACCAAGTTATTCACATTTTAAAAGCTTCAGTTACATAAAAGGCATATCTGTGTGTGTATAGCTGTTGCTATGTGATATCAAGTCACCTGTGACTCATAGCGACCCTATGTACAACAGCCCTAAACCTTGCTCTATCCTGTACCAATCTTATTGTCTCTGACACACCTACCACAATTACCCCAGTCACTGAGTAAATCTATCTTATCCTGGGTCTTCCTCTCTTGCACTATTCCTCTACCCTCACAAGCATGTCCCTCTCCAAGGTCCCGCCTTGCAACATGTCCACAGTAGGTCACACAAAGCTTCAGAATCCTTGCCTCCAAGGAGCAGCCTTGTCTCACCCTCTCTAGAACAAACTTGTTCGTTTCCTAGGAGTCAATGGTATATACAACACTCTTCTCCAGCACCACAGCTTAAAGGGATCAATTCTCCTTCTATTATCCCTAGTCATCCAGCTTTCTGATGCATAGCAAGTAACTGCAAATACCATGGCCTTTATCAGGTGCAACTTAGTCTCCAGACTGACATCATTGCTCTTCAGTACTCTGGTGAGGTCTCTGACAGCAGATTTTCCCAATGTAATTCGTCTTTTAATTTCCTAGATGCTGGTACCAAGAGTGTTAATTGTGGAGCCAAGCAAACTAAAGCTGTTAACAATCCCAATTTCTTCACCATCTATTACGATGCTATCTCAATAATGGAAGGGAATATAGTTCCAAAGGTTTAAAAAACAAAACTCTGAATGAGCTAAGATAAACTAAAAGGTTCATCTCAACTGCACATCCAAGCTCCCTGACTTACACAGGATGTTTTAGCTATATTTTGAGAAACCGAAATGACAAAAGATAAATAGACCCTTCCTTGAAAAAAGATGCAAAAGTGGCTATTATTGGGATCCTATGATGTGCAGGCATCACCTAGCTCACTCCTGCTAACAACCGCAGGCAGTGTGCTGACTCTCTCTCACACACATACTGCCATCATCACACCTAATCAGCTTCACAGTTTTTCGGAAAATGTCATGAGTTTTGATAAATCGGACATTGTTCCCAACACAATAACAGAACTTTAAGTCAATCATCTGACAAGTTTCTCATTTTTTCTAGATAAGATGTGGGCCTCCTGAACTGGTTATTCAGCCCCATTAGCAAACTGGAAGTACATCAGTCAGATGTGGTTTTGGATTAACTTACCCTGTTTCAGAGTTATGTTTATTAAGTTCTTAGCACAAGAATAATTACAACCACTCAAGAAAACAGAACCCTCTGGGAGCCTACTGGCAAGAAGCTGGACTAAAATCCCAAAGGCATGTGGTTCAAATTCACCAGCTGCCCCATGGCAAAAGGATGGGCGATCTCCCCATTCGATTAAGTGCCTCTGAAAACTCGCCAGAGGGTCAGCTATGGGTCAGTTTCAACTTGACAGTTTACAACAACAAAAGAAAAGGCTAATAAAGCTTATTTTGAAAAGTAATGTGCCAGACCAGATCAGCGTAAGTAAAATTCTTTTCATTTGTCTTATTTAGTCCTTCATTCAATATCCTCCTACTAGGTATCAGACATTTGACACCTATTATATACTGTTGTTGTTGTTGTCATATGCCATCAAGTTGAAACTAACTCATAGCTGACCTTCCTACAGGTTTCTGTTGTTGTTAGGTGTTGCCTAGTCAAGTATGACTCATAGTGACCCTATGAATAACAGATGTGAACCCTATCCTATCCTTTGCATCATCAGTCTCTGGCACACTTGAGCCCACTGTGCTGTAACTGTTTCAGTCCACCTGACTGAGGATCTTCCTCTCTTTTGCCTTCCTCCTACCTTCCCAAGCATGATGTCCCTCTCCAATGAATAGGCTCTTCTAGCAACATGTCTAAAATATGTGAGACAAAGCTTCATCATCTTTGTATCCAAGAAGCACTCTGGCTGCACCTTCTTCAAGGCATATGTTTGCTCTTTTGGCAGTCGATGGGATATTCAGTACTCTTCTCCAACACAACAGTTCTGTCTTTCTTCTGTCTTTCTTATTGAACATCCAGCTTCAGCAACATAGCATGTAACTGAAAAGACCATGGCCTGAATCAGGTGCACCTTAGTCCTCAAATCAGCATCATTGCTCCTCAATAACTTGGAGAAGTCCCCGACTACAGATTTCCCAGTCTCCTGGGATCTGGTATCTGATGTCTCCTGACTGATGGTACCAAGAGTATTGATTGTGGATCCAAGTAAGAAGATGAAGTCATTTTTCAAGGTTTCAGCAGGTTTTCAGGGGATGTAAATCATACATGAGGAGACTGTCTACCTTTCTCCTGAGCAGCTGGTGGGTTCAAACCACCTGTCTTTGAGTTGACAGTACAACTGCTTACCATTAGGCCATCAGAGCTCCCTAGATAACATATATATATTATACATACTATGGCATGCTGCAACAACGAGGTCTCTTGACACTACACTATAACTTTTATCTTGGTGAGATCAAGTCCTAGAAAACCGAGTTTATTTCTAGGTACTGTTCTAAGAAGCACAGTGATAAAATGAATGTGTCCAGAGAATACCAATAACCAAAGCACTGAGGTGTCATAAAGGAAATGGTTTAAATAATTATTGATGATTAACCTAAGGCAGAAATCAAGTGTAATAGGACAGATGTCTTCATACTGACATCTAGAAGGGCAACACAGATTGATCCTCTCTGGCTGTTACACAGTAGGGAGGGCTCCAAATTGCCTCTCAGCTTTGGTATCATATGATGCTGTGATTCTATTTTACAAATGTAAAGAAGTACCATTTGAGAAAGCTGTAAATTGATCAATATGCTTTCATTTCAACTAATGCAAATAACATATGCTAAAAAATTTGTTTGGCTTCTCCTAGAAATTTCTGAGAGCAAGGCTAGTCATTTCTGACTTGCTATGTTTATTTAGCCTGGAATGCAAAAGTATTTTACCACTGCCTAATACACATAATAAATACCTTTGGAGGGTGTAGTGTAACAGTTTGGTGTAGTAAGTATTCCCCTTTTAGGCAGGTTCTTATTAACTGGAGTCTTTGGCTCAGGAAATACAAAGCACTCTTCATTCTTTACAGCAGATTTAGGAGTATATACATTTTCTTTGTTCTTTGATTTATTTGCAGATGCTCTGCACAACACTGGAGTCCGTGATTTAGACTCTAGATCATTTGGTTCTATCCGAAGCTTGGCAAACTGGGAAAAAAGGAAAAAGTACATAAAGCACAGTGAAGACATAGTCAATTTCCTTGTAACAAGCCTTAATAATTTGCAAATTACCTTGTACCATTTTTATTCAAATGAAATATTAAAAGAAATTACTAGCAATATCAAGAGATTTTTTACATGTACATTGTTCTTTTTAGTACATATGGACAATCAACTCCTATGAAATTAAATGTCTCTGAAAACCCACCAGACGGTCAGCTATAGGTTGGTTGCTACTCTACCCAGCACAACAACAGATCATATTAGTATGTTTTACTGACAGGTAATTTTCATGTTTCAGGCAAGTGTTTAATCAAATGTATACTCTTCACATCTTAAGCAATATTGAGAATGGCTGATATTTCCCATACTTAGATTGGTATGGTTTACTACTAATGTAAATTAAAAAAATAAAAGCATAGCTATGGAGGAAAAAACCATGTTAAAATATTCTAACAGAAATGTCAGATAAAAAAAATTGTTTTTAATCCTTTTAAATTTACAGTTAAACTTGTAAGAATGGAAGGAAAATCCTCAGGCTGACCTAAAAGTGGGACAATAAACAAAGAAAGTAGTTACAGCAGTAATTATCAACCTATAGCACTGCCTTTAACAGCCACGGAAACCTTAGGCAAGATGGTTAAGTTAGATTCAAAGCTCATACATGATACATGGAGAGGCTAAAAATGAGCTGAATATAATAAACTTGCTCTGACAACAAAGTTAGCAAGAAAACATGTATGTTTTTGGCCTTGGACCTTGGAGAGAAGAGGAAGAAAAGCCTCCTTTAATAATTTAAAAGTAATCACATGAGACTCTTAAGTTTGGGAACTAAATTCCTAACACCTGAACAGTTCCCGAAACATCAAACCTAGAAATTAAAGCAATTTCTACATTGGTTGTGCTCCAATAGCTTAACAGCATGACAAACATTATTAATGTTACTGAACTGTACACATTGATTCTTCATTGAGGAGACTGTCCATCTTTCTCCTGAAAACGGCAAACATATTTTTTACATGTATTTTTCACAGAGAAAGATAAATAAAAATATTGAGGGGAAGATGGAGAAAAACCAATTCACATCTATATTTATAATCTTTACTACTCCAAAGGCGATTACTCACACAGACACCACACACAGTTGCTTGGAGTTGTCCAATAGGATCGGACAACACAAAACCCAAAAAGATTCTAAAAAGAGTGAGAAAAAAATAGACTAGAAAAGAATAATAATTAAGACTAACAATAGCAATAAAAGAATTAAGAAGAAAGCAGACTAATCTTCAAAATGCTGAGAAGACAAAATTGTCTATAGGTTTTCTGTAAAACTAAAATTATCCTAAAGAAATATAATTTATTAATAAAAACACTTCAGATAATAAAAACTGTTAGAAACATAGAAATATACACATAAGGGCACTACCATCCAAGAAATAAAGGTGAATGATCATTTTAGACACAAACAGGTGTTGAAATAAATACTGTTAAAAAAACCCATTTTGGGTAAAAAAAGAAATAGTGTCTGTGTTATATTTTAAAAGGATAAAAAAACTGATGCATTTGCAATTACAGTCTTCAAGAAGAATACTGAATATACAATGGACAACCAATCAACCAAATTAATCTGTCTTGGACAAAGTACAGCCAGAATGTTCCTTAGAAAAAGGAATGGGGAACAAAGTATTTTATGTACTTTAAACATATTATAATGAAAGGCCAGTCTCTGGAAAACATTTTGTTCACTAAAATAGAGAGATAACTAAAAAAAAAAAAAGATAAGATCCTCAACAAGACTGGTTAACAAAGCTGCAACAATGGATTCAAGCCTAGTAACAATTAGGATGATGGAGCAGGTCCGGGCTTTCTAGGGTATGTCTTAACCCAACCCCCCTCCAACTTCCTGAATTAGGGATTTCTTTTTTGTTGTTGTTGCTTTATATTTTAGTATGTCTTGGGTAAAAGTTTACACAGAAAATTAGGTCTCCATTTAACAATGCTGATACAAATTGTTCTACGGCACTGGTTATAATTTACACAAATGTGTTATTCTCATTCTTTTTATTCTGTCTGTCCCATTTCCATTGATCCAGCTTGCCTGCCTCTTCTTGCCTTTTCACTTTTACATCTGGATAAGTACTGACTTCTTGTTTGTCACCAACCCATAGCTGACCCTCCAGCAGGTTTTCAGAGGCAGTTAATTTGCACAGGAGGAGACTGCCCATTCTTCTCCTGCGGAGCTGCTGGTGGATTAAAACCTTATACTTTTGGGACTGCAGTGCAGTTACTTACCACTAAGTACTGACCAGTCTCAAATAATTGACTGTTTAACGGTGCGTATTACTGATGATGATGTTATTTAAGTCAATCCATTTGACTGAAACGTAACCTCTAGAAATGACTTCAGTTCCAGTTCAAAGAGTGCCTTTAGACAACAGTCTCAAGGGTTCCTCTCATCTCTATTAGGTTCAGTAAGTCTGGCCTGTTACTGGAATTTGAATTCTGTCCTACATTTTTCTCTCATTAAAGCCAGGATCTTCTATTGTGTTCCTAGTCAGAATGGTCAGCAGGGGCAGCTGGGCACAATTTGTTCTTCTGGTCTTGAGCTAGAGATCATAGTTCATGTGGGGTATTACTGCATCCTGTGGGCTAGTTTCTTCAGGAGTCTTTGCTTTCCTCCATGCTCTTCTGTTCCAGATAAGTAGAGCCCAATAGTTATATTTCAGGTGTCGGCCCACAAGCTTTCAAGATCTCAAAAGATACCAAATTATGATGAACATCTATTGCTTGCCTTTCCCATCAGCAAAAAAGTAGAGTTCTAATCTCCCCACTACCTCACCAGTACTTATTACTTTGTGGGTTGTTTGTGTTTTTTTTTTAAATCATTTTAGCGGGAATAACATGTAACTCATTAATATGTGTTTTTCTAAAGGTTAAGGATCACAAATTTTATTGTTTTTTTCCATGTGCTTGTTTGCTGCCTCAATATCCTCTTTGGAGAAGTGTTTGCTCATGTCCTTTGCCTGTTTTGGTTTTTTTGGGAGGGGGTTTGGTATTACTGGATCACTTGTATTTTTTGATTGTTGTTGAACTGTTGAAGTTTTCTATATATTTCAGTGGTGAGACATTAACCAGATGTATTACTGCCGATGATATTTTTCCTGGTCTGCAGGTTCTCTTTTGTTAACATGTTTTTTAAAAATTCTTTTTATTATTAATTTCAATGAAAATTTACAGAGACTTTAGATTTCCATTCATTCATTGTTGTACTTTTCTCCCTGCCCACCCTTCCTCCCAGTACACTCCTCTCTTTGAAAAGTAAAAGAAAAATCCTTTCATTGTTTCACAATCCCTCCTCCCATGTCCATTCCACTATGCAGCCTTCCTTCTGAACTCCTGTCATAACAAAATAGCTAATCACATATCCCTTTCAAACAGTTTCCTCCCTCATCTGTTTCAGTGCAGTATACATTATTTATCCCCTTTCTCAGTCTCCCCCCAACCCCAATGTCAGTCCTGTTTTACAACAGTTGCACCATGCAGTATTTGTCCTTTTGTGACTGAGATATTCTTTTGTTAACATCTTTAGGCAAGCATTAAGTATTTTTTAATTTAACACTTGCTATTTATGTATTTTCAGTTGTGTTTTATGGTTTATTTATGTTATAATTTAGGTTCCGAGGTTTGCCCCTATGTCATCTCCCCAAAACTCTAGTTAACAGTTTTAACGTTCAGGTTTTTTAATCTATTTTTTAGTTAGTTTGGCATTTTTCTGCCAATGAATATCCAGTTTTGCCAGCACCATTTGTTAAGACTGTATTCTTCCTCACTGAGTGAACTTTGATGCTTTTTTTTTTTAAAATCAGCAGTCCATAAGAGAGATGAGTTTACTTCTGGACTTTCAATTCTATTCCACTGTTCATCATCTGTCATCAAACTAATACCTGAGTATTCAGATTACTGTACATCTAATTTTAAAGTCAGGAAGTGTAAGGCATCTTCCCCTCCTCTTCTTGTTCAATATTATTTTAGTCATTTGGGGCCAATTTCTTTCCATTGAAAAGCTGGAGATTAAATACAACTATGAGCTATCATCTCAGCCCCAGTAATAATAGCAAAATTCAACAGAGCAGAAAACAACAAATGCTGGCAAGGTTGTGGAGAGAATGGAACCTTTATTCACTGCTAGTGGGAGTTTAAAATGGTGCAACCACTACGAAAAGCTGAATGATACTTTCTCAAAATTTTGGAACTAGAAATATCATTTGGCTCAGCAATTCCACTGCTAGGAATAAACCCTAAGGAAATCAAATCCACCACCCAAACAGAAATATGCATACCCATGTTTATTGCTGCATTACTCACAATCACAGAGATGGAAGCAATCCAAGTGCCCATCAACAACTGAATGGATAAAAAACTATGGTATATTCATATAATGGAATACTATGCAATACTGAAAAGCAACAAGCTCCTAAAATATTACACAACATGGATGGCCCTGAAGGACATTATGCTGAGTGAAATATCTCAGTCACAAATAGACAAATACTGGATAACACCACTGTTATAAAACAGGACTGATACAGAAGGTTAGGGGGAAACCAGGAAAAGAAGGAACAGATAATGAACATGCACTGGAACAGATATTTAAACACTTTAAAGGGAATATATGATTATCCTCTCTCAGGTCCTCCCTTCCAAGATAACAAAGAAAAGGAGAAACAACGGTCCTGCCCAGAAGGGCTGCGGCCACATACAGCCTATTCACTACATAAACTGTGCCCGCTGCATGCCCAAAGACAAGGCAATTTAGAAGGTCATAGTTTGAAATACAGTAGAGGCAGCTGCCATTAGGGACATTTTTGAAGCGAGTGTCTTCTTAACATACATGCTTCCAAAGCTCTATGTGAAACTGCACTACTGTGTGAGCTGTATTGTTCACAGTTCTCATGAGACCCAGCAGGATAGAACACCTCCACCCAGATTTACACCTGCTGATGCTGCCTCATGACCTCCACCAAAGCCCATGTAAGGATGTGATTCCTTAAAAGCTGAAGAAAAAACTCATCTGAAAATAAAATGTAAATTATACTTTTTTTAAAAAAAAATATATGATCAGGCATTATATATATGACAGCAGTCCAGAATAAGAGGTGCATTGCAGAGTGGACTGGGTAGAGGTTAAGTAAGAAATTTGTGCAGATAAAAATAAACATTTTTTATAAACGAAATAAAAAATAAACTAGGGGAGTGGGGAATGAATGTAAATCCAACTTTTCTGTAAACTTTTGTTAAAATCACAATAAAAATTTTCAAAAAGAAGTTGAAAACTAATTTTTCCATTTTATTAAAAGAACGTTGTTGAGATCTGGACCAGGTTTGTATTATAGAGATACTTTGTGTAGTCTTGATTTTCACCATGTTAAATCTACTGTCCATAAGCATAGTATGTTTTTCTTTTTATATAGCTCTCTTTTGGTTTCTTATAGTACTGTTTTATAGTTTTCTCTTATATACCTTTTATGGCCCTGGGTAGGTTTATGCCTAGGTATTTTATCTTTTTATTAATCCAATGACTTTTGAGGTAAAAAGACAATATTGGGTAAAGAAGCAAGCAAGTGAAGGTAGGGGAAGAAAGATGCATATCACATGAAGATACCATTCCCCAGAGCTAACAGGGAGAGAAATTTTCCACTAGAACATCCATGCCAACCAATGATAACAGAGCCAGTGGCCTGAATTCAGACTATTGGCATCCTATACTGTGAGAAATAAATTTGTTTGTTATAGACATCCATATGTTGTATTTCTGTTACAGCATCAATAGATAAATAAGATCCTGGAAGAGAGAAAACGGTGAGACACCATCAAGCATACCAACTTAGGTATAACTGGAGTACTAGAAGGTGAGTACAGACAGGACAGAAAGATTATTTGTAATTAAGTTGTAATAGCAAGAGCTTCCCAAATTTGATGAAAACATCTCCAAATCCAAGATGATCAATGAATTTTTAGGAAGAAAAGAAAAAAAGATTATCAAAGGAAAGGCCAAGAAACAGAGTAGTGGTTCATGAGCTGAGAGTGATGCAGGGGTTGATTACAAAGATGCATGTAGGAATTTTGAGAGGTAGTGGGGATAAAAGAACTACTCAATATCTTGAATTTGGTTGGTTATGCTTACCCAACACTACATATGCATTATAAATATACAATGAAAATAGGGTGAATTTAACTACATGTAAATTATATTTACTTTTAAAATTCGGTAGGAAGCAATAAAGTGCTCTGAAATGAAATCTCAGCTTTCTTCATCTTAGAAATAATTGACTTCTCTTTCAATCATGTTTCAACATGCCGTCATTAATGTTTTCAATAGTTTAGGACTTTTCTTAATTTACAAGCACAAATTTAATTTCATGTTTTACATGAAACGATTCTACATGTTTTAATTGAGATTGTATATCCTACTTTGAATAGCAATCAAAATAGCCAACCTGTGGTGTTTGCGGAGTAGCCACACCTCTTGATGAATTAGCGTCACACCACTCATAGTCTACATATCCATCCACATCATTTTCATCACTTGTGGTCACATCTTCTAGACTTAGATTCTTTGACTGTTCAATCAAAATACAGAAGAATTTAGAAACAATAGCATGGTTCAAGTTTTAAAACATTATTTACATTCCAGACACAAAGTAAAGCCTTGAAAGGAGAAAAGAATGTTAGTATATTCAAGAGTTCACCATTTGATACAGAGAACAGTAAATGAAGAAAAAAAAACTTAAGTACCAATTATTAGCTAGGAGAATCCCTAACTCTCAATGTCTTGGAACAATTTTATGTTATTTCATATACTACTTAGCTTATCATTACCACCACAGGGAGAATACCCAGTAAACAAGGTAAGCACCGGCTTACTTACTAATCTATAATTCAATTACTAATCTGCTGCTTAAAGCAAGAATTATAAACTGAAATGTGTAAGTAAACAAAAACAAGCCTGTGCTTACCTTGCTTACTGGGTACTCTTTCCCTATTGTGTTGCTCTTTGCCATCAAATCAGAATTGACCCATAGATGACTCTCAAGCAGGTATTTAGAGGCAATAAACCAGACAGCAGGAGAATGTCCATCCTTCTCCCACAGAGCAGCTGATGGATTCAAATCACATGCTTCTGGGATTACAGTGCAGCGTCTTATCACTATACCACCAGAAATCCCTATAGTTGTTGTTATGTACTATCCAGTCAGAACTGACCCATAGCTGAACCCCCACCAGGTTTACAGAGACAGTTAGTGGGAGGAGAATGTCCCATCTTTCTCCCACGGAGCAACTAGTGGATTTGAACTGGACTGCAGTGCACCTTCTTGCCACTAGGCCACCAGAGCTTGCTAGACTTGAAAGAGGCTTTGATTCTATAGAAATATTCTGTAGGGCTGGGTGACAGGTGGACGTCAATCATACCAAGAAAGAGAATTTTTGATGGGAAAAATACGGAATTGTTCATTAAGATTAATAAGTAAACACAAGTTTTTAGCTTGTCAAATGACAAAAATATAGCAAAACTGTATCTTTGTAAAGTTATTTTAATTGTTGTTGTTGTTGTTGTTATGTGCTGTCGAATTGTTTGTGACTCATAGCGACCCTATGTACAACAGCCCTAAACCCTGCTCTATCCTGTGCCAATCGCACTACCTCTGACACACCCATTCTGATTACCCCAGTCACTGAATCAAACCACCTCATAGAGGGTCTTCCCCTCCTGCACTGTCCCTCCACCCTCCCAAGCATAATGTCCCTCTCCAAGGACCTGTCCCTCCTTACAACATGTCCAAAGTATGTCAGACGAAGCCCCAGAATCCTTGCCTCCAAGGAGTAGCCTGGTTTAACCCTCTCCAGGATGAATCTGTTTGTTTTCCTGGCAGTCCATTGTATATTCAATACTTTTCTCCAGCACCACAGCTCAAAGGCATCAATTCTCCTTCTATCCTCCCTAGTCATTGTTCAACTCTCTGATGCATAACAAATGATTGCAAAGACCATGGCCTTTATTAGACACACCTGAGTCTCCAGAGACACACCGTTGCTCTTGAGTACTTTAGAGAGGTCCCTAAGAGCAGACTTTCCCATCACAATATGTTTTCTGATTTCCTGGCTGCTGGTGCCAAGAGTGTTGACCATGGAGCCAAGCAAACTGAAGCTGTGAACAATCTCAATCTCTTCACCATCCATGCTGATGCTGACAATTGGTCCAGTGGTGAGAATCTTTATCTTCTTGACACTGATCCTCAGTCCATACTGAAGGCTGCAGTCCTTGACCCTCTACAGCAAGTGCATGAGGTCTTTCTCAGTTTCAGCAAGCAGGGTTGTGTCATCTGCATAAAGCAGATTGTTAATAGATCTTCCACCAATCCTGACGCCACACGTCTCATAGAGCCCAGCCTCTCAGATAATCTGCTCTGCATACAGGTTGAAAAGATATGGAGATAGGACACATCCCTAGCGTACACCCTTCCCAATTTTGAACCATGCAGTGTTACCCTGCTCTGTTCTAATGGCTGCCTCTTGGTCCAAGTATAGGTTTCGCATTAGCACGATTAAATGTTCTGGGATTCCCATTCTTCTCAGAGTAAGCCACAGTTTGTTATGATCCACACAGTCAAACGCCTTTGCATAATCAATGAAACACAGATATACATTCTTCTGGTATTCCCTGCTTTCAATTACAGAATTAAAATTCACATCAACGGAAAAAAATAAACTGTTGTTGTTGATTGTAGTCAAGTGTGACTCATAACAACTCTATGAACAAAAGATCTAATGTCTTTCCGTAACTGCTTAGGAAATGGATGCCACTCACGGCGACCCAAGTTACTTCATACTGTATCTTGACAAAGAGTGATATACAAAGCGGAAGAGTGTTCTCCAGATATAACACCACTAGTTTCACTTAGCAGGGTTGAAGTGTCGTCAAGTCGAATATGACTGAGTGTTAAGTTTTGCACAAAAGACCTTAACTCTGTTCTATAACTAACATCATTGCTGGACAGAACTGTGTTCTATAACTACCATCGTTTCTGTACATTTCTAGAATTTAGAGAGTTTCCAGAAGCTTCTAGTTTAGTAAGTGGAAGCCACTCCTGCTTCCCAGCATAAATCAATCTGGAAGCTCATAGAAATAGGCTCTTGCAAGCAGGAAATTTGGCATCTTGTGCTAACACTGCTATGGTAATTTAATTCATTTCCCCTCTATTCTTTCTATTTTCCCTCTAAAATCAGAGCATATACTAGATACACCCTAAGCTCTAAAACTGTGGGATACAATTGCATTTTTTAAATATCTCACTCTTTCCACTTTCCTCAATATCTTACTAACCTGACCAGGCATTTTACTTCAATGTCTTACGTTTTATCCTTCCCTGTCCAGTTCCAGACACTGTCCTTATTCAAAGACAAATTCTGTTACATTTGGCTATTCAGAGGCAATATGGTCTCTGCCACTGATCTTTCTACCCACTCAACCAGAGACAACAGAGTTCCCATAGCTGCTAATTACTATCAATTAGATATGGCTTTGTGGAGTACTAAATTGAGAATTATATGTAAGCTAAATCTAGATTCAGTGATTTATAAATGATGGCTATCATTTGGAGCATAATAGCATACACACACAGAACCTTTCACAAAACAATTCTATACACTCCTGGATTTTCAAAACTGGTCATGTCTCCTCCCTCTTGCTCAAAATCTTGAATGGTTCCCCATGGCATTGTGGTGCTGGCAAAGAATATTGAATATACTATGAACTTGCAGGAGAATAAACAATTCTGTCTTAGAGAAAGTACAAACAGGTGCTCCTCAGAGATAAGGATGGTGAAACTCCATCTCAAATACTCTGGGCATACAGTCAGGAGTCAGTCCTTGGAAAAAGCATTCTGGGAAAAGTGGAAGGTCAGCTAAAGAGATGAAGACCCTCAATGTTTGACTTAGTGACTGCATCCACCTCCGGCTTGAGCATGGTGGAGATTGTGAGGATGGTACATGATAGATTCAGATCTGTGTACAGGATCAATATGAGCTGTATTTAACTCAAGTACACCTAACAACAACAACATCAAGATCTCTAAAATAGCACATCATAGTTCTCTATAATCTAGCTCTCATGAACCTTTCTAATTCCTTCTTTTTTCTCCCTATCTGAACTCTTCGTTCTAATCAAACAAGTTTAGCTATTAGCAACAGAATATATCAAGCGTATTTAGCTCTCTGAACTTTTGCCAATTCCATTTCTTTTGCTCTGAATTCTATATTCTTTTCCTCCTATTTTCCTAAACTTAACTCTAAGTAATTTAGAAGATAAATGGTAATCACTTCCATTCTCTAAAGCGCCTATAGGATGTCTTCACTCACTCATCTCATACCCACTCCCTATTCTGAGGCAGTACTATTATTTTATGAATGTTCTACCTCAATTTGATTCTTAGAGAACAGACACAAGACCTTATTCAGATATGCTTCCCATTAGTTTAGTGTAGGACTTGAAAATCATGGTGATGTGAAGAATGATAAGGCCTTCTTTGACTGTTATATCGAGTCATATTATTGTTTCACTAAATGTGGCATCAATTGATTGAAAGTTAAGGAATACATTCTTTCTTATAAATAATACCCCAGAGATAAAAAACAATTCCATTGATAGATAAAATAATACAAAGAGACTAGCTGTTTTGATTCAATGATTGCCCAAAGATTGCATAAAGATCAGGAAAAAAACCTCAAATTTTATATCTACTTTATTATTAAAATTACTTTCTGAGATAAAAGGCTACTCAATAATATAAATTCCCAAGTAATTAAATTATTAAGTAAATACTCATTCTTGTAGTAAATTGAAGATTAATAGCAAGTACCTTTCCAGATCTTTACACTTAGACACTTAAAAATTATATAAACTCAGTGGTTGGAATCAGGCCCACTCCAGATAAAAAATGCAATGACTAAGGAAAATGTCTCAGAAGGCTCCATCTCTTATGTATTATAAATTAGGCATTAAGCTGAAGTGGTTATTCTAAGTATAAAGATGTGTAATACCTTTCTGCAATTATCTTGGTCAGAAGTATAATTCATGCTTTTGTGTCCTCTGGAGCCCAAAGGTGTTACTTGAGTCTGATAGTTTAAAGGGATTGGCGATATGAACAAGATGGGTGAAAAATAGATTTATGGTGCCCATAGGCAGAAGAACAGACTAGAAAATTATCTTAAGAAACACATTATCTCATATTGGACATGTTGTTAAACAATGACCATTTCCACACATATTTCTAGTTCTCAATTTGTCAAATGATCAACTAGGGAAAAAAGAAGGGTCCCGGAGGTAGGTTAGGTCTGGCAGGGGACATAAGACCCATTATTCCCACAGTATGTAAGAAAACACTGTCACAAAGAGAGAACGAAATTAAGTGTTGGGAAATTCTGGTGGCCTACTAGGTTCGGAGTTGCAATGCTAACCCAAAAGCAGGTGGTTCAAATCTGCCAGGTGTTCTGAGGGAGAACGATGAGCAATCGTCTCCCATATGGTATATACTCTCTGAAAATCTGCTGGAGGGTCCACTGTTCTGACTCAACAATGATGAGTAGGCAAGGAAGCAAAATAAAATCTTAAAGAAATTTGGAGTGGGGTAAATGCGGCTTAATAAGAGACTATGTCATATGTTATTTTAACACATTTTTTACATAGCTGAGACCTAAAAACAAAACAAAAATTTATTAAAAAATTAAAAAATCACAACAAACCAATTACCTCAACCAATCATTTGTGCTATTTTGGATTGCAAAATGATACCAATTATCTCCACTGCGGATAACAAAGATATACAAAACATTTAAATTACAACCTGAACTACTCTGAAAGATTATATTACTTAATTCCAAACCATCTGGCAAGCATTTGGAAGGCTAATTTTAAACCATGGGAGATACAAAGAACTACATAGAAGACACAAACTAAAATAAGCAGGTAGGAAAGGCATGGAGCTTCAAAATATGAAGAACTTCTCCAAATGCTCATGACAAAGAAAAGAGAGAAAAATAAATTGGTAGCAATTAACAATCATGGAAAGAAATTGAGTTCCATGAGTTGTAGGTACTGTTGAAAACAAAAAAACGCTAAGTCTTTAGCATAAATGATTATCAAAATATCCATTAAAATATTTCACATCAGCTAAAATATGTCCTTTAGTCACAGAGATTATCCCTCGCAATTTTAAAACTTATTATCTTAATTATTCTGTTTCCTTTTAAAAGTACTTACAGGTACATAAATTATATAAGCACAATAAAAGAAAAGCCTGGAAAGACAGAACAAAATACTGATCATATCTATAGGGTAAAATTTCTTTTCCTTTTACCCTGTGGTTTAAAACTTTTCTACAACGATTAAGAATTACTTTGGAAAAGAAAAAGGAAAAAGGGTGTGGTTCTTCCCTCTCCTCCAAGAGCTTCAAACCAATCTATTTCAAAAGAGTCCGTTTTATAGCCAGTAAAAGGAAACTGAAATAGAACAACATTTAAAAAAATTGAGAGATGCAGAACAGTCAGATGAGTAATGTCAAATGATGATTAATGGTCAAAGTCCTGAAATGAGAGACTAAGGAGAAGCATAAGAGTCCTTCCCCGAGCTTAATGAAAGAGACTGGATTATTTCCAGGACTGTAGAGAACAGCACACATTCTAAGTAGCAAAGTCACCCACATCTCTAAGTAGGGTATCACTGTTTCCAACCCTGCTGATCAAGAGATTTAGCAGCAATGCAAGGTCCTGCTTTTTTTTTTATTTTGTGTGTATCTGTATACTGTCAAATCAGATCTGACTGGTACAGGAGGAGACTGTCCCTCCTTCTCCAGCAGAGCATTTGGTGGATTCAAACTGCGCACCTCTGGGATTGCAGTGCAGCTTCTTGCCACAAGGCCATCAGAGCTCCCTAAGATCCTCCCTTTTTTAAGGATACTTTCTAGCAGCACCTTGACCCATAATTTTATTTGTTTTAGTTATCATTCCAGGTGCTCACATTTTTAAATTTCTGGCTCAGTTTTGTTTTTGCCAGCCATGACTGAACCAGAAAGAACAAGTTCAAAGCGCTGGAATTTTAAAAATGCGATGGAAATGTGTGGTATTTCCCATTTACCCCATATGAAATGCTAAATCATAAAATATTTTACCTCTGGCTCCCTCAATCAATAAAACTAATTTCCCCAGTAATGAATACACTCCTAAACAGGGAAATCACATAGTAAGATCAGCAGAGATTCACACAAAAGGTTTTAACTTTTACCTCCAAGTCTCTGGATGGAGTAGCACTGGCTTGTCCATATGACAAAGGAAGCCTTAAGCGAACTGGCCTTCCCCGACCCTTCTTGGCTAGAAGCAGAAGATAGGTAGCCGTCAAGTGATCACATTTCCACTGGAAGAAAAAAGTATTGTAGTTTTTTTGTTTTTGGCTTTAAAGTAAGCTGTTTAGAAGACTAAGGAGTTTTTTGTTAAATAATTCTTATTTTTCTAAATAGTTGTGTTGTTGTTAAGTGCCGCTGAGCCATAGACAACTCATAGCAACCCTATGAACAAAAGACCTGCAAACTTGTATGACTTTCATCATTTCTCCACATTCATAGAGTTTCCAGAGGCAAGTCATTTCAGAAGTGGCTGTCACTTCTGCTTCCAAGCTTGTTTTAATCAGGAAGCTCCACCAAACACTGTCCACCATGGGTAACCATTATCACATCTGACATCAGTGTCACAGTGTTTAGCATCACAGTCACCATGAATAGTCACCTCTGTACAGCAAATGGACAGACCAGTGCTATATCACTTAGAAGAATGTCTGACCAAAAACAATTTTGAAGTATCTACTATTTGTTATTTTAATCTAATACATTTCATCCAGCCTCCACATTCATCTTTTTTTTTTTTCATTTCTCAGAAACTACCACTTTTAAATTCTTTCAGCTATTTCTTCTGTTATTAACTCTACCTTTCTTGTCTCTATAGCTTCAATTTATTTTCTTCCTAGTTTCAGATACTATTCAAAAGAGTTCCCAGTATGGAAAACAAGAGAAAAACAATTGATGCCTTTGAACTGTACTGTTGGAGAAGAATGCTGAATATCCTTCCCATGGACTGCCAAAAGAATAAACAGGTATGTCTTGGAGAAGGTGCAGTCAGAGTGCTCCTTTGAGGAAAAGTTGATGAAACATAGTCTCAAATACTTTGGGTGAGTTGCTAGGAGAGGTTATTCCATGACAGACATTATACTTGGGAAGGTAGAGGGATGGCAAAGGAGAGGAAGACCCTCTCCGCTGTGTCAGGTGGGCTGACACTGTGACTGCAGCAATGGGCTTGAGAGTATTGGAGATTGTGAGGATGGCACAGACAGGACAGGGTTAATATCTGTTGCTCACAAGGTTGCAATGAGTCGTACTCAACTTGATAGCACCTAACAAAAACAATAATATCCTCACTTTTCCACACACATTTCCTACCTGCATCCTCTCACTATTTTAAAATAACTTTCACTTAAGTTATTATTCATTATTTACATTCTACAACTACACAAATAACATCTACAACTAGGCACAAGTAATATTTAACTGTGAATCAAAACATGTATGAGTAAATGAACTAAATTTTTTTTAAAAAAAAAAGCACAAAATATTTAACTGGTACCAACCTATCAGAACAGAAGCTAACAGGTGAGTAGGTTCTAAGGGATTTCTAATCATGCCAATTATTAATCCTTTATGCTGAAGGAAAGTGCTAAAGAACATGATAGGGTAGAGATTTGGAGTAATTGGTTTTCAACAATTGGTACACAAAATTCTAACATTTTAGCATCCAGTATGGCCATACTGATTGAATAGTATTAGCCCAGCAACTAACCCTACACAGAGAACTACCCAGGCAATATTACTTTGTTTTTCCTGAGTTTAAAAAAAAAATCACTGTATTTCTTACTAATTCACCTCCACACTCCAAGGCTCTCCTCTTCTTCTCAATACGTCACACACATCAGCTCAACTGTTTCCTCCCTTCCTTGTTGATATTCCACCTGGATGTCTCCAGAAGAACAGTCTGCTCCTCCCGGGCTTGTTAGGGAGCTCCAGTGGGCCTACTCCACAGGGAGCTCCACTGCTAACTCAGACGCGGTATCTCTGTGGCAGTTCAAACCTACCAGCAGCTCTGAGGGAGAAAGATGGGCACTGCCCTCCCATGAGATGAACAGCCTCAGAAACCCAATGGAGGGTCAGAAATACGTCACTTCTGACTCAAGATATGAGTTGGATCTAGGCTTCTTTCACAGCCTGATCCTCAATTACCAATCTACGAATTCCCTTCACTTCTACCCTACATTATCTCCCCAGTTTTCTAGATACTAGGGATTCCTTTTTCTTGGTTTACACCCTAGTTTTGAAAGAGGAAATGCATCAGGAACTTGCTGAGGGTTGGTGTGTGAGGTGTAAATGTAGAATCACGCATCTGAAAACTGGTTGCATTTCATACATCTGAAAACGGGCTGCATTTTATCATCAAATCTGATACAAGTTTGGCAAACTATAGATTCTATATTGGCAATAATGTCACATTTTTAAGGCATCAGCAAATGATCTTAACATCTTTCTGATTCTCAAGCCTTTGTGCTTGATCTTTTGGTTTGTCCCAAAAAGCTTTCTGGATTTTTTTTTTTCTCAAATTCCACTAGAACAGGTCCTGGTATGGATCTATTTTTCATCCATTGTGAGAAGATCTACTTAAACTTTCTCATTCTTAGAAACTCTTCTTCAGTTCTGGTATATTTCTTCTTGAAGTATTTGATGATTTCTTCCTCCTATATTCTCAGTTCTATTTTTTCTAAATTTCTATTATTCATGTTAGACCTTTCAAACTGATCTTGTTATTTCCTTTTTTCTTCTCTTTTTTTTTGTTTTTGGATTTTATTGAGATTTTACTGAAAGTTTAAACTTGGATTTCCATTCATTCACTGTTGCACATTTTCCTCCCTGCACCCCCTCTTTCCCGCAGTTTGCTTTTTTTTTTTTTAGGAAAAAAGTTCTTTCATTGTTGTACAGTCCCCGCTCCCCAGACCACTTTACTATGCAGCTCTTATTTTGGACTCTTGTCATACCAATAATAACTAATCATATATTCCTTTTATACAATTCTCTCCCTTGTCTGTTTCAATGGCATATACACTATTTATGCCCTCTGCTCTTAGTTTCCCCCTAAGCTCCCTGTAATCCTGTTTTATAACAGTGGCATTATACAGTATTTGTCTTTTTTGTAACTGAGATATTTCACTCAGCGTTATGTCCTCCATGGTCACTCATTTTGTATTTCATGCATTCTTTGTTTTTCAGTGCTGCATAATTTTCCATTGTGTGAATACACCACAACTTCGCTATCCATTCGTTTGCTGATGGGCACTTGCATTGTTTCTCCTTCTCATCTATTTTTACCACGTCATCATCTTTAGATTCCTTTACAAAATTCCACATAATATTATTTTCGTTTGAGCATTTGACTTGAGCTTTTCACTTCTGCTGACTTATTTAAATTTTCAAGAGCTCTCTGCAATGTTCCTTTTCCATCATCTCGTTCCTATTTCAAGAATGAAAGCACTTCTATTATCTTCAAGATTCTTTTTTTTAAAATTTTTTTAAAATAATTTTAATTAACATTTACAGAGATTTTGTATTTCCATTC